AAAAAAAAAAATAAAAATTACAACATAAAACAGAAAAAATAAAAACAAAAACGAAAACCAAAAAAATGTTATGAATTTTTAAGTTTAGTCGCAACAAGTGTTTACAATCATGTTTTTTTTTAATTGGCCAAACGACTAGTTATGTGTAAAACAATAAAATTTTCCGTGAACACAGTCGACCAAATAGTTATGGAAACATTAAAATATTAAAAAAAAAAATTTGCAACCATTTTTTATTCACTTTACTTTGTAATAAGTATTAAATTCACATCGTTTGATTTATTGTTAGCAATTGTCTGAAAGGTAAATTTTTGACAGTTAAAAAGTCAATAAAAATGCAACCCAAAGCGGCTAACGAAAAAGTTGACACCGAGCAGCAGCTGACCGAAAACACAGTCAGGCAACAATTTTTAAAATAAGATCATAGATAATAGTTCCAAAAGAATTGAGCTAAGAAACGAAAAGTATCTAAGCACATTAGGGTGCCTCACCAAAATAAGCTGCGGTTTTATAAAATGTATTATATTTTAAGACTTACGACAAAATATTTCGAAAAAATATTAAGTTTAAAGTGAGCTGGACGAATTTGAAAATACCTCCCAAAGGCGCATTATTTTAATTCCGTTGATACAATTTTTAAAAATTTGTATGCAGACTTACTAAGCTTAAATGCTGTATCATTTGCGTGATTTGCTAGAATAAATATTTTTTGAACAAAAAAAAAAAACAAATTTGCTTATAAAAAAATTCCATTTTTGGAGGTGTGTTCAAATGGGTACAGTTCACAAAAATCTTTATTATTTTTCCGAAATATTTTCGCGGAAGTCTTAAAATGTATTTTTTTTTTAAATTCCCTTGGAAAATTAGTACCATTTTTATTTATAGAGGGTGATCCACCTTACATTAGGGAGCAAGATAACTCACATTCGGCAATTAACTTCTAGCCGTCGGCACTAAGAATTTCGTCAAATTCATTTGAAAAAATAATCGATTTTTGATACATTGAACCAATGAAAACAAAATTTCTAGTTTCTTAATATTACTTGGCAAACTTTTCGCACTGCTTGCGGACGAAAATCATATTGTTGCAGGACGAGCGAAAAAGTTTCTTCACCAAATTGTTTCCACAGGCCAACCTGAACTTCCAAAAGCATTCTAGAATGGCGGATCCTAGAATTGGATTTTTATTTTTACACAAATTAAAGCTCATCAGATTACATACTTCGTCTAGTGGCTCGTGGCTTCTTTTAGAACACCGATTCGCACAAATCAATCTTTTGATGATGTTTTTTTACTCAAGAGACTTTAGTATTAATTTGAGAATGATAAAATACAAAATGCGGCAATCGAGCTTAGAGCAATCGGTCGTGACGTAATCAAATACTGAAAACGAGAGTAAAGAAGAAGAGGATGAAGCGACAACTATGTATACAATTTATTTGGCGATAATTAGAAAATGGCTGCGGGAGTGGCAACTTCTGTGTATTTTATATTTATAGCTTATCCTAAAAAATTGGTGCAGGCTTCCAGAACCAAAAGCTCAACAAATTACTAAGACTCGCAAAATACTTCCAAAAGCGCACGATTTAAAATTTTTGCCTCCGCACTAATTCTTGACGAAACTAAAGACCAGTTGTGGTACATGTTAGGGATCCACTAAGAACACTCAGCTCACCCAAAAACTGAACTGAAAATACATCCACAATGTACCACTGTGTGATTAATTTGAAGAAGCTAGCTTGTGTGTGAAATATCTATGAAATCGTTTGACTGGAACTGGTAACTGGTCTTTGATGGCCTTTTCAACTTTTGCGGCATTAGGGTCTTATTTCAGTTAAAAAGGATATTCAACTATTTTTTTTCGGAACGCAAGAAGTGTTAAATAAAATCATGACCAACATAATTCCACTATAAAATAAAAGGATCCATTTTGGAATTCAAAGTCCGAGACGGAAAAATTAAGCAATATCAACACTTAACAGAAAAAAAATCATTACTTATTATGTAAAACAGTGTACGAAAATAAACTATAGTGTACGTTACTATTTCGTTTCGTTTATTACTTCAACAGTTCGGTACAATACGAAAACAAAACGGCTGAGTTCACTTTGCGATAGTACACTACAGTAGTTTAGTAGTTACAGACGAAACAACAAACGAAATGAATCGTGCAGAGAAAAATATATGTATGTATGTATGTAGTACATGTTTTTTAATTGAATTGGATATGAAAATTTACAGAAAAAAATATTTTTCACGTAATTGAAACGTTTGCATACATATAAAACGTACCCTATGGTACAATTGTCACAAACGAAAAGCAAACGTTTCTCGTTGGGGAAAATGACAGTGAATCTTACAATTTGTTTCTGACTATGTACAAAACTGTACAAAACCACAAATGATATGATGATCGGTGAACAAATGGGAATTGTTTTGTACAGTTTATTTTCGTACCCTGATTTAAAATTTCAAATAAGTACACTATAGTGCAAAACTGAGTACATGGTGGTTTTAGTTAAATATTTGGCAGGTTTTTGAAGTTAAAATTTGTTCCTTATTTTTTTTTTTTATAAAAATTGTGTTTATGCTTTAGCCAAGGCAATTCTAATAGGTTAGAGCAAAAACATTTGGGTGTATTTTGGTTTTGCTTCTAGTATCGAAAGCGTCAAAAACTCTTCTGATTTTTTCCTAAATCAGAGTGTGCCACGTGAAATACAAAAAAAAAAAAAATAAAATAAAAAAATTAAATTGGAAAAATTAAAAATTTTTGCAACTTTCTTTCTTATGCCGATTTCGTTTCTACCGAAAAATGCAACCTTCTCTTTGCCCTCAACGCACAAACACTGAGAAGAGGGCAATGAGAAGGCAACATTTTTTCATAGAAACGAAATCGCCATTAGTAAATTTGTTTGCTTCTCGAATCATTGATCCATTCTTTGCAAGGCCCAGTAATCAGCGGTTGTGCTGCGGAGTTGGGCGAACGTTCCAAAAGCTGCAATTCAATCGCTTGTTTTGTATGGAAAAATATTTCACATGCAGTTAAATTTTAACAATTTAGAATTGTTGTGAGAAAAAATTTTAAATGTTTGACATTTTCGAGACCAAATAATTTGAAAAAAAAAATTTAACCAGCTGCTCTACTGATACTACCTGTTCAATGTGCCTTGGCCTTAAAGATATATGTAAATCAAACGTTAAATTTGTATACAGAGATAAAAAAATTCAACAAGTTTTCAGCAACATTTTAAACTTTTTAATCTGACTTTCTGTTCTGGTACATTTTATGTAGTATACTAAAGTAGAATTTTTAAGCGGCTCAAAAATCGCGGCATTTTTTTAAATATTTTTTTTTTTTTGCTGACGGCTTTTGTGGTTTTTTCATCCAACAAGGGCAATTTATTTGCAAACGGTGTCTTGCGCATTTTCTTCCATAAGAAATTCACAAGTGCAGAAACCCGTTAGCAAAAAAAAAAAATAATAAAAATCAATGCTATTTTTCAGAAGCTTAAAATTCAGATAAGAAAGTTCAAAATTTTTATGAAAATTTAAAAACCTTGCAAATATGTAACACAAATCACCATGTACTCAGTTTTGCATTGTATGTGCTAAAGAGAGCCAATTAAGAAAATTCGTTTAGGAGCAGTTTTTCAGTTTAAACGCTCGAGCTAAACTAAAATTAGCCAATAAAATTTCAGCTAGTTGTTAAATATGTACGCAGTTTACGCGCTCCAAGTTAAAATGGTAGTGAAAAACTTGTCAATAATATTACCAGAATTTAAATGTAAAAAATCGGAGTAGATTTTAAGTCAAGTGGAGTAGATTCAATTTTTTTTCCAAAAGGAGGAGCAAATATACTCCCATCGGAGCAAAGTCCGACCGTTGGGTATGCCTTATTAAAGTGGCCTAACTTTTAAGTGGTCCTCTCTTCGACAAGTTTTACTTTTGTGAGTAGCGTTGCCGATTTTTTGGTAATTTTTTACCAAAATTGGTAATTTTTTCTTTCATAAAATTTGATATTTTAATTTTCAGTTTGGTTCAAGTTTCCATGTCGGTTGATGTGGGATGAATGATCAGTACCTTCAGTTGCTTTTTGGCTACACACCCTTTAATCACATTAATTTTAGAATCCACGCCAAGATTTTCCGATGTTGTGTCTTTCGAAGCTCATGCGGCTTTAAAAACTTTAGCTGAATAGCACGCTGATTGCCCGAAAAGCTTGCAAGTACAATAACTTTGGTAATTTTTTATGGAATTTGGTGACTTTTTTGGTGATGTTGGTACCAAATAAAAAGTCATTGTGGCAACACTGATTGCGAGTGGTTTGTGTCAGGTGCTCGCTCGTTTCGCGACTCTCCATTTAAGTGTCGACAAATCAACGGCGGCTAATATTTATGAAAACTTATCTAAAAAGTATTCACTAAAACTTGAAAAAGCCTTGAGGCCATTGAAAGTTTCGAAACTTTTACAAATATTTAAAAATTCGTTTCAAGTATAAATTAAAAGCTCAAAAGTTCGAAATGCTTGTAAGATCAAAACCAAAAGCGTAAAATATTTACACCACTTTATTGTGCAAAGTTTAACATTCAAATTCATAAAAAATAAAGAAGAGCTGAGTGAAAATTTCAATCTTTATAGCTCTTTAAACCACTTTTATTTTTTTATAAACAAAACCATAAATCTGTAGCATCCCACCGCCACTTGGCCATCAAAGTTTTTAAAAAGCGAGCTCACACTTTTTGCTGTCTCGTCTTCTATTCGGCGTGAGTAAATGCTACTTAGGGCGAAAAATTTACTTTCCATTCCATTACACACAAACGCTGTCATTGTTCTAAGTGTGTACTTAACGGTTTTATTTTCTGTTTTTAACTAAGAAACTTTAGGTTTTACATAAAATAAGTTTATTGTATGAATTACAATTACGTTTGCTAGTTACAAATTACATTAAACAAACAAATAAAAAAAAAAACGAAACAAAACAAAATATCTGCTACTTTTCACAGCTTCCATTATCATTTTGCGGAAAATGTAAACAAGCGTTACAAAAATTAAACAACAATACAACAATGCAACTTTTACAATACAAAGAGGAAAACGCAGAGAGAATTCTTCTGAAACAATTTCGCATATATAGACAAGGAGAAAACTTTCCATTTACGTTTGAATAGTTGAATGATTTTACTTGATTGAATGTGAGTGAGGCGGTTGGGTGGGTGGGCGTTTGTTGTTGGGTTGTGTCGGCTACCGCATGCGATATACTATATATATGTAGCTGAATGTCGACGGAAGGCTTTTGTAAATACAACATAATAAATAACAATAATGTGCTTAAGTGTACTATAAATGCCCAAAAGTGCGCCACATTCAAGTTTTGACGGTCGACAGTCGGAGATGGACAAATTGAAATATGTATGTATGTAGTCCGCTTGTTGTAGTATCCTTACTGGCTGTTGTTGGCGTCGTTGTTATTACAGCACTGGTAATTGTTATTGTTGTCAATGTTGAGTGAGTGCTGCAACTGTTGTTGTTGTTGTTGCTGCCATTGTTGTTTTAATTTTATCACTATTTGCTGCTGCTGTCGCGCATTTATCGTCAAATCTTCAAACAATTTTAAGCCATCTGCCTTTTTTATAGTTGTCGTCGCTGGTTTTTGTTGTTGTTGTTATTCTTCTTCTTGTTAGTTGTTGGTATTGGAATGAATATTTTTTTGTTTTGTTTTGTTTGTGTGGCTTTAGCTCTAAACTCGTCCTAAGTAATTTTAAGTGCCACAATTTGCTGCTCTGCTCATCACTTGCTTTCATCAGCACGGCACGGCACGGCTTCGGCTGACTGGCAACAAAACTCGTTTTGTTCGCTGTTGCTGTTGTTGTTGTTTGTATTACGCAAAGTGGATTTCCTGGCAACGATAAATATTTAAGCGCGCCGTAAGTTGAAAATGTCAGCATGGCTGGACAAATGTTGCCAGGTTACGCTACTCAATGCAGCTTGTTATCCTTGCTGGTGTTGGTTGTTACTTGTTTGCTTGTTGTTGCTATTGTTGAAACCCCAAAGTACTATGTCGTTACCAGTTACTTCTTTTTGTTGTAGCTCTTGTTCTTATTTTTGTTGTTGTTTGCCGCTGCTTTTAGAGCATCTGCTGCTGGCGCTACCTCGGCGGCTGTCGTCGACTATATTTATTGGCTTGGTTGCCTACAATTTGTTTCAACTGCCATTGTTTTTGCATTTTTATTATTTTAACTTTCTTGATATCCTCTGTATTTTTTTTGTTAAACTTCTTTGCTGCTACTTTCGCTTGTTTATTTGTTTTCTATGCTTTAACTTACTTTCAATTCTTATTAACTTTATATTTTATTTACTTTTATTGTAGAAGTAAAAATTTATTTGCCATTTTTCGCAATTTGTCTTTATTTTCTCTTTTTGCTTTCTTTCTTTTTTTCGGTTTCTTTTTACTGTTTCCATTTTGCTTGCTTGCCACAATCTAATTCGCATTTTTTTGTTTATTTTCTTGTTTCTTTGCCGCCTTTGAGCATTTGTTTTCCAATTTTTTTATTCCATTTTTTTTATTCAAAAAAGTTTTGAAGTTTTTTTGTTGATTTTTTATTGTTTTGGTTTTTCATCCACTTATTTTCTTGTATTTCATTTTCTCGTTTTTATACCATCACGCTCGAACTTTTGCTGCTGTTGTTGCTGTAGCCGCTTTTGCTGTTCGAGCGCAAAATTGTATTGGTTGCATTTGGAAAATGAGTTTTTCGCTGATGTTGCTGCTGTCGTGGCTGCTGTTGCAAGTGTCGTTTGCTGCCCTTGCATTTGTCATGGCCGATGGAACCTGCAAGCGGGAAGAGAAGGAAAAATAGCAGGGTTAAGTTGATGTTTTATTGACATAAGTTTGAAAATATGTTAAAGCAAGATATAAGCTTCTAGAAAATTTAAGTTTTGCAAAAAGCACCGATGTCGAAGTTCAAAATGTTACAGGCGAAGTTATCAATATCTGAGCACAAGTAGCGGTTAATTTGTGCGTCAGCTCGATGAAGAGGTGGTTGGTTTTACTGATAAAGGTGGCTCTATTTTAAAAATTGTGGAAGTATTTTTTGAAGGCTTTGGAAGTTGCAAAAATTTACTGTAATATACTGTCGAGTCACAAGGATGTGAATAATAAATCATTATCATACACTGCGTGGCAAAACTACAGAGCCAGCACAAAAATTATTCAACGAAATATTAAAGGAATAAATGAAAAAAAAAAATCTCCTATGAGTTTTGTATAGCAAGAGCTCCGCTCAGATGGAGTGGATGCATTTTTCTTTTTTAACTAAAACCCAATTTACAAAAAGTGTAATGCCGTATTTCCACTAGGCATTGAAGTGACAAAAAAATATGTGGCTAAAATACGATATTGAAACCAAAAACTAATGACCTTTTTCATAAACGTTATGGCGAATTTCGACTAGACATTAAATGACAAAAGTTTTAATCACAATGTTGGTCATTCATAAAAATAGTGATCATGCCAGTTCCACATGACATTTTGTAAAAGGCACACATTTGTTGTCTAGTGGAAATTCGGCATCATGACACACATGTTTTCAAATGCCAGCTTTGTGATTGAAATTTTCGTCATTTAATTACCTGTGGATATCCGGAATAATATGGAATTCCCACTAGGCACTCAACGCAAAAAAAAATAATAACAAAAATAAAAAAAACGAACTTTATAATTTTTTGTACCACAATGACGAAAGTACTTTTTGATGTCCAAACTTATGTACCAGTGGAAATCTGGTATAAGGATTTAAAAATGCCTTGCTGGAAAACCCAAATAATTACTTTGAAAATTTTGTACCCAATGACCTTATTTTTTTGAACAAGGATTAGTATAGGTAAAATTGCACAGAATTTCTTTGTTTCTCCTTAAGATCCTAAAGAGGATGATTTATCTACTACTTATAAGAAATAGTATGCTTCCTGATCGCCTACCAGGAGTTTAATATGCTTGGGTCGAGACAGCTTAGCACACGATTGTTAAGTCGATAGAGGAAACACACATAAAGACTTCACTGTGGGTCCTTTTTCGACATCGAGGGGACTTTTAATCAACGGAGGAGGGGGGAAGGGGATAGAGTCAAAACTTACACCTAGTTAAGCTCATATACCGCATACTCTGCGACAGCATTGTTTTTAAATTGTGATCTTAAACGACTGCACTTTTAGCCAGCATTTACATGAAGCTATTTTGCAGGCGATTCAAAATTGCCAAAAAAAAAATCGCTCGTTTAAATGGTGATTCAAAAATCGTTTGCCTCAAAGTAGACAGCAGACAGTGGCGGAAACAACGAGCCACCTTCAATAAGTGGGGTCATTTCATCCGGTGCCATTCAATCTACATATCGATATATTTGTGCGATAAGCCAAAAAATCAAAAAAACTCGAGAAAAACGGCTTTAAAGTTAACATATACATACTATATGTACGCACCCTTGGTAAAAATTTAAACACATTTAGAAAACGAGCGAATAAGATGCAACACTACACATATAAAAAAAAAAAAAAAAATTCAAATATTTTCATGCAAATCATTTGAGCTTAAAGTCTTCTATTATCTCAGGGAATTTTTGGCAAAACTATTTTTAAAATAATAATATTTTTGCGCGTACACTTTTACTAAGTGTTTGGCCGAGCTTCTCCTTCAATTTGTGGTGCGCGTCTTGTTGTTTCTACACAAATTAAGGGAGCTATAGTTTTACGCCGCCTCTGAACGGCAAATGGATTTTATGGAAAGCTGTTTTTTCATGGCAGAAATATACTCGTAGGTTTGTTAGAAAATTTTTGTTTTCTTATACATATCTATGTATACGTATGTATGTAAATGTTGCTCGGACTAGGGATCGAACCCTAGATCTACTCGGCCACATTTATCTGCAAAAAGCTAGAATTTTTGAGATTTTTTGAAATCGGTCTAGCTCACGTAAATCTTAATATTTTTCTCAAATATTTTCGCGAAAATCGTAATATGTAAAATAAATGTTGAGGAATTAGCCTGTTCGAAGTTTCTGTGTATGTATGAATGCGCTATAAATGTACACAACTGCTTGTACCCCTGAAATGGCCAACCAATTGATGCCAGTTTTCTCATTTAAAGACACACATGCAAACTCTTTTTAATACAAATTGAGTGCGATCAGCTGAAAAATTGCCAGTAGCCCAGCTCAACCGAAAAGGAAGCTTAGGGTAAATCGAAAAACTACACAATTTTCGGAACTAAAACTTAATAAAACATAAATTAACAAGAAACAAGGAAAATAAACAATTTAAGCTACATATTTGTATACACATACTCCTTGTACCCTTTTGTAATATTTGTGGGATGGAACCAATTAGCCAATTAAATTTGTGGCAGTGTTACATATTGATGATTGGCAGGCTAAAGAAAGTCAGAGTAGAGGGTAAGTAAGGAGCTTAATAGACGTCGGTGGCTTGAAAAGATTCTAATTTTTTGTTTCTCGTTCCTAACCACAAATTTTTTTAAAAAAGATGGTTAGTAAAAAGAAAGGTTAATAGATTGGCGGCAGCTTTAATTGCTTTTGGCTTCAATTCGCTGTCAGACAAATTGATGGAATTTAGAATTTGGGTATGAAGAAACTCGTACAAAAACAAGTATGGACGTAGTTGGAAAAACGTTATAACGAAGTAAATAAAAGACAAAGAATGGACAGCATTAACAGCATAAAAAATGATAATTTACTTATTTCTAAAAGGTATTCTTCTGTTACCAAACGATATAGCATTTAATATTTCTTTAATGAAATATATCTCATTTTGAAGAGGAGAAGCCTCCGTATGTACATGCGAAAAATACTCACGTTGTTCAAGTTTGGTGATTATTTAGAAAGGGGTTTCATTTCAAATAAAAACCAGCTACAGTGCTTATCATATCTATACGACACCCACATATTTATTGACAGTTTTGTATATTTTTTTTCTATTAATTAAATTTAATTATTTTTTTTATAAAAATATATTCCATTTCAATAAAAATCACACAAAGAAGTTGCATCAAAATGTAAATTTTTTTTATAGCCCATTCAATTCCAGTATAATAAAGTGCAAGTTTGAAGTGGGCACGAAATACCGTTGATTTTTCGCATTTTTAGTTTGTCGGTCTGTGTCACTCATTTTCTTCCATACAAAGTGTGTTCGACAAGTTTTTTATAGGGGGGGCCATCCCATTGTGACATTGTGAATGTGATCAATTGTGAATTTTAACTATGGTCGTCGGAACTTATACAACAGCAAAAGATATTTTTTAACATAGAACGATAACTAATGTATAAAATTGCTTTAACAAAAATACCAAACGATTTCTTAGTTTTCTGTCACTATCATTTGAATGAATGTGACCGGTGGAATACTGAACTGAGAACTCCATTTTACCCTTTTGCTCTCAAAGACGATTTTTAGCCAAAACACTTAATTTTCACGAACGATGTTTTCAATAAAAATAAGGTTTATATAATCTTCATTGATATGTATATTAAAAAATATTTAAAGTTGTGACTGGTGGGACATCTCCTTGAGACTGGTGTAAAGTAATTATGCATGAAATAAAAGGTTCCATAGACAAAAATTACAGCTTCTTTTGATTTTTTTTTTAATATTTTCCCTCGGGTTAATGAAATGTAGCCATTTAAAAAGAGGTTACTACTGGAATGGAGATAATTAGGGCATAAATATTTAAATTTATGTCGTTTTTCTCTTTTCAATAGAATGACCCATGGAGGAAATTGCACAGCGCCTTCATTTATATAATTTATGTTATCTAATGAATTATAGTTTTATAAAGAAGCATATAAAATTAAATAATAACAAGTAAAAACGTCTAAATTCGGGCGAAGCCGAACATTAAATACCCGGCGCACTTATTAAATATAGTTTTTCAGTATTTCGAAAAACTACTGTCCCCTTATTTCAAACATAGTATGTTCAGTTAGACTTAATGAGATAACGTTATATAGTTATAAGTGGGCATTAACACGCTCCCACGCTCCTCAATAATCTTATTTCTTTTTAAGAGATAGTTGTAAGTAGGGATGTTTTGAATGTCATATTTTCTACATTCACGAATGCGAATGCGAATGTGCGAATACGAATGTTAGGAATAACATCGTTTTTATTACTTACAAATTTTGTAAGTTATTAGAACATTGAACGAGTGCTTAACCAATACAGTGTAGTAGTCAAAGTTCAAAAGGGGCATATTGTATTTCAAAAAAAAATAATTTTGCTGTCTTTTCTCCCATGAGGCGATTTCTTAGAGGCCGGCTGCACTGAACAATTGCTCACTTGGAACGCTGGCGGGTGGAGCGCTCAAATATTTGCGGCCCAGATCTGTCAATTTGTCGTATTTTAGTTTACTTTTCCACCACCGAGATGATCTCGTTTTTCTTTAAGATATGCCTTCAATTGAGCTTTAATTTCATATTTTTTAATGTCTCCTAATTCTAGATACATCCGAGTCTTCGCTTTCGCTGGAGTATTATAAAATTATTTATAGGTTGTTTATAAGACTTTTAGCACTAAAAGCCGGCTATTTTCCGCACCCTGGTTAGACAGACTTGGAGCCATTTCAACAATATTATAGTGCATTCGCAAAACATTCGTATCAATTGATGCCAATACGAATTATTCGCATAGCGAATGCGAATGCAAGTAAATTAGCGTCCCTCAATTTCGAAATATTGAAGATTCAGCATTTCTGAAATTTACCGTTATATGAAAAGTGGGCGTAATTTTAGGGCGATTTCAAAAATTCTCAATGCCTTGCTTTTAATT